GGTTTATATTTAATTTATTTTTTGTTTATTTTTTATTTAATTTTTGTTTGTTTTTTGCTTATATTTTGTTTTTTGTTTTATTTTTAATTTTTTATTTTCTGCTTATTTTTGTTTATTTTTTGGTTTATTTTTGGTTTGTTTTTAGTTTATTTTTTGTTTATTTTCTGCTTTTTTTGTTTATTTTAAATTTATTTTTAGTTTATTTTTTGTTTATTTTTTGGTTTATTTTTGGTTTATTTTTAATTTATTTTTTGTTTATTTTTAATTTAAGTTTTGTTTATTTTTTGGTTTATTTTTTATTTTTAGTTTATTTTTCTTTATTTTTTCTTTACTTTTTCTTTATTTTAATTTATTTTTTGTTTATTTTCCTTTATTTTTTCTTTACCATTTCTTTATTTTTTCTTTTTTTTCTTTTTTTTTTTTTTGTTTTTGTTTTCTTACTTTTGGTTTCTTGGGGTGTTTTTTTTCTTGTTTTTTTTTCTTTTTTTTTATGTTTATTTCCTCCTCTTCCTCCCTCTCCTCCTCCTCCTCCTCAAGCCCGTGGGGATTGGACCGTGAATGTAGAGTTTAACCGGTTCCTGCTCACACACTCCAAGAATTTGGGAAAAATTCTGTTTGGAAAAACAAAACAACAACAACAAAAAAAAAAAATCTTATCAGCGATTCTGCAGAAAGAGAGAGAGAGAGAGAAAGAGAGAAAAAAAAATAATACAAAAACACAAAAAAAAAAATAAGAGAGAGAGAAAAAAAAAAATCTGTAAATATGATAGTAATAAAATAGAGCATAACAAAACTGTGAAACTTCCTCAAGCCTTGTCAGTGGTTAAAATATTTAACACCCCTCCCTCCCCTTTCCTGACACTCTTACTGACAGATGTTCTGTTTTTTACACCCTAAAAAAAGACGAAACCAGGGGTTTTTAGGTCAGTCTGAGGCAGGAGTGGGGATCCCTGGGCCAGCTGTGCTTTGACAGAACCCGTGCAAGGTTTTGGGGAGATCACCCCGAGGATTGTAGGGTTCCCCCTTTCCCTTTTGTCTCAGCAACAACAACAAAAACCCCCACAAAAAAAAAACCCAAAACAACCCCAAACCCCCCTGTTCTGTTTCTGTTGGGTTCCCCCATCCCCTCTCGCTGATGTCCTTCGTGCAGAGCTCGGCATTGTAAAGGAAATCCTCTCACAGCCACATTAAAAACAGAAAGGTTGGTGCAGTTTGATTTTATTTCCCATTTCCTCCCCGAGCAGGGGGATGTGGGGGCTGCCCTGCCCTCCTTCTCCAGAGGATCCAACTTCCCCTTTTCCTCGCCGTGATTTCGCTGGAAAATTGGATTCTGAAGCCTTAAAATGATGATGATGATGATGATGATGAAGCTGTGCCATCATCCCCTCCCAAAGCAGCGTGGTCCTACTAACCAGCCACCCTCTAATACACAAAGGTTGGAGTTCCAGCTTTTATTTTTATTATTTTTTGTCTTTTTTTTTTTTTTCCTCCTTTTTTTTTTCCCCCCTTATTTTCTTTTAACAGGAATTCGAATTTGGTGTGGCTTTAACTGTTAAATTTTTTTCGGAAGGTCATCAGATTTAACTTGTCAGACTGCTTCCCCTCCAGACATTTTTGTGCTATTGTTTAAAAAAATGAAAAGGGTTACAGAAAAAAAAAAAAAAAATCACAAAAATATCCTAAAAAAAAAACCAGCAACAACAAAAAAAAAAAGGGTACAAAATAAACAAACAAAAAAAGATTTAAAACAGTTGGCGTTAATAAAAATGTCAATGTGAAATTCATGTCCTCACCTTGTGTTCTGTTTGAAGGCTGAAAGGACCCAAAACTGGGTTTATTTGAGCCTGAAAGGACCCAAATCTGGGTTTATTTGGAGCCTGAAAGGACCCAAATCTGGGTTTATTTGAGCCTTAAAGGACCCAAAACTGGGTTTAATTTAGAGCCTGAAAGGACCCAAATCTGGGTTTATTTGGAAGCTGAAAGGACCCAAATCTGGGTTTATTTGGAGCCTTAAAGGACCCAAATCTGGGTTTATTTTGAGCCTGAAAGGACCCAAATCTGGGTTTATTTGAGCCTGAAAGGACCCAAATCTGGGTTTAATTTAGAGCCTGAAAGGACCCAAATCTGGGTTTATTTGGAGCCTGAAAGGACCCAAAGCTGGGTTTATTTGAGCCTGAAAGGACCCAAAGCTGGGTTTATTTGAGCCTTAAAGGACCCAAAGCTGGGTTTATTTGGAGCCTTAAAGGACCCAAAAACGGGTTTATTTGGAAGCTGAAAGGACCCAAATCTGGGTTTATTTGGAGCCTGAAAGGACCCAAAACTGGGTTTATTTTGAGCCTGAAAGGACCCAAATCTGGGTTTATTTAGAGCCTGAAAGGACCCAAAGCTGGGTTTATTTGGAGCCTGAAAGGACCCAAAGGCCTGAGGGGACAGCAGAGGCCAAGGTGTCACTGCCAGGACCCTCCTGAGGCACCAGGGCAGAGTTTTGGCTCACAGAGCCCGAGGAATCGGAATAAAAACCACCCTCAGGCACTCCAGAACCGCCCAGGACTGGATTCAACACAGAAACAACAGAAAAAAATTAATCATAAATAAAAAAATTCTATCAAACAGCGCAAAGTTTGACAGAATCACATTATGGAAACACTCCCAGGGTGGGGAATCACCCCAAAAATGGGAATTTTGAGGTTCCCGGGGTTGGTTTGGGAATTCTGCGTTTCCCTGGAGTCAGCAGAGCTTTTTCCCCAGACTAAACCTTTCCCTTCTGCTCCCTGCACACGGACAAAACCAAAACAACCCCGGAGGGAGCGGGGCTGGGTTTCCTGGGAATCCAGGAATTTCGGGATTCCTCCTTCCCATATTCCTCCTTTCTTTTTATTGCCTGGAGGCCAAGTGGTGCAGGATGAGGACGGAGGAGATTTTGGGGTGAGGAAATTCCCCGGAGGAATTAAATTCCCAATTAAATTTGGGATTGTTCTGTTCCATGGGAAATCTTTAGAGGCAAAGCGATTCCAGGGAAAAGGGCAGGAGAAGGAGATTTTAGGGTGAGGAGAGGGCAATTAATGAGAGAATTGTGGTAATTAATGAGGGAATTTTGGTAATTAATGAGGAAATTTGGCGATTAATGAAGGAATTGTGGTGATTAACCAGGGAATTGTGGCTGCCACATCCCTGGAAGTGTCCTTGGATGAGCTTTAATCTCCTTCCCACTGTCCTGGGGTGATGGGATATTCCCCAAAACCCGGATTTTTTAGGGAATGATGGACATTCCCTGTATCCTGGATTTTTCCAGGGAATGACGGATCCAGGGACAGCCACAGCTTCCCTGGGAAATCCCTGCAGCGTTTTTACAGCCTCCTGCTAAAAACTTCTTCCTTTTAGCTCATCTAAATCAATTCTCTTCCGCTTTGAAACCATCCTCCCCTGTCCTGCCGCAGCCTTCCGGCAATCCCGGAATATCCTGAGCTGGAAGGGACCCTCAGGGATCATCCGGCCCTGCAGGACACCCCAAAACCCCACCCTGGCCATCCCTGGACAAACATTCCTTCAGCTTTGGAAAGCTTGGGATCACCACCGTTCCATGGAGAGCTCCACCACCCTCTGAGGAAAAACCCCAAAATCCAACTCAAAATCCAACCCAACCCATAATATCAACAAACCCAACCCAAAACTCCTGGACTTCCAAGAGTTTTGGGATCACCACCATTCCATGGGGAATCGGCTCAAACCCAAAATCCACCCAAAATCCACCCAAAATCCACCCAAAATCCCCATCCCAAAACTCCTGGAGCTCTGAGAGCTCTGGGACCACGAGTCCTCCACAGGGAGCTGCTCCAGCGCCCAAAAACCCAACCCAACAAATCCAACCCAAAACTCCTGGAGTTCCAAGAGTTTCGGGATCACCACCATCCCACGGGGAGCTCTCCCAGCGCTCTTCCAGCCTGTTCCCAGCAGGAATTCCTTCCCCAAACCCCGCCCTTTCCCAGCCGCGCTCCCCCTTCTCCCCGCATTCCAGCGGATCCCGTTTCTGGAGCGCGTCCCTTTCCCAGGAATCCTTCGGGAGCTTTGGGATGATGAAAGGGCCGAGCGCGGCGCTCCCCCGCCCGGGGCGCCGCTCGCCTCTCCCGGTGCTCATCCCGGCCCTTCCCGGTGCCTCCCAGCCGCGGGAGGGGCCGGGGCTGTGGCCCGGTAATTGCCGCTTGTCCCCGCGGTGTTTCCGCGATGTGTCACTAATTACGGCTCCCCGTTACGGCCCGTTAATTGGTC